CAAACCCCCTAAACCCCGAAGCAGAGATCAAACTAGTGGTAAACCTGACACCAAAGCTGGTAGTGAATCTGGTAGGGAACCTGACCCCAACACGCGCGCAGATATCAAGCCGGTGGTGAACCTGGTCCCGTACAACGCCAAAACCCTAACCCTTAACCCTTCACCCTAAACCCCAAACCCCAAACCCTAACTCCTAAAACCCGGAAACAGAGATCAAGCTGGTGGTGAACCTGATCCCGTACAACTCGATCGGCGACGAGAGCCTCTCCAGGACCTCCAAAGACAAGATCGGGACGTGCGAACCCCCCCATGCCACTTAGCAGGAAAACGGCGTGGGATAAGCCCGCCTCGAAACGGCTTGGCCCCCCAGGAGCGATCAGAGTACGTAGTACGGACTGGCCCCCCGCAGGATCAGAGGACGTAGTACGGCCGTAGTACTTCGCCCCCCTCCTCCTCCGCCTGGCGGGTTGCCTCCTCGACAGAGGTAGGCCCACTGATCCCGTACAACTCGATCGGCGACGAGAGCCTCTCCAGGACCTCCAAGGGCAAGATCGGGACGTGCGAACCCCCCCATGCCACTTGACCTTTTCACCTTGACTTCAAGGTGAAATTTCGGTTAGCTTCCAGGGCAATGGATAAGGTTCTAGTACAAATCGTTTAGATAGACTGTATCCGTGAAGCCCCCGGTGGCTGCTACCTGGAACCCCTGAACCCTAAACCCTGAACACCCTGAAAACATGCGAACCCCAAACCGAGAGCCTCTCCAGAACCTCCCAGGACAAGATCGGGACGTGCGGACCCTACACCCTACACCCTAAACCTTAGACTCTAGACCCTGAACCCTAAACCCTAAACCCTAAACCCTAAACCCTGAACCCTGAACCCTGAACGCCCTAAACACGTGCGAACCCTCCCCCCCGTTCCCGAAACCAGAAACCGGAAACCAGAAACCAGAAACCAGAAACCTGAGAACCAAACACCAAACACCAAACACCAAACACACCAAACACCAAACACACCAAACTCCAAACACTAAATACTAAACACTAAACACTAAACCGTAACCCGCAGGTTCCCAGAGGAACCGCGAAGCCCGCCAAATTCTTGTGGGTGTGGCCTATATATGATAGATGGACGGCTTATTTGGACGTGACGGTAGTAACTTTTTGTACCGGCTTGTACCTTTTTGTACCGCCTTGTTACAGCCCGGTACTACTTTCGGGACGTGACAGCAGTACAAGGACAGCATGCTTTGCGCGCATCATGCGTTGCGCGCATTAAAATACTCCCTCTTCCAGCCTCGAGGGGACACACCGTACGTGCTTGACCCAGTCCGTCATCTTTTACGTTCGTACACAACGTGGATATTGCACATCACCTCTCTCGTCGCCCCTGCTAAGACACAGCCTCGGTGGGGGTGCATACAGGGCGGCCGTGTTGGCAGTACCAAAGTATCTCGTTACCATATTTTCATTATTCTCCTTGGCAACTTCTCTGCAGACCGCTCCACACCGCGGGCTACGAAGGGATTTTCGGCCCAAATCAGGCCACCTTTCCTTGACCTTGTCCATAGGACCCCCCCCTATGCCCCTGCGGGTTGCCTACCGTAGGTTTGTAGGTCTCGTCGCGTAAGGGTTATTCAAACATCCCTTCGAAGTCCGCTGTGTGGAGAGGCGCTCCCCCGAACCATAATCCCTCATCCGTAAACCCGAAACCTTGTCTCAGAAAAGGGATTTTTAAATTCGTTTTCTCAAGTCAATTCCTTTACAAATTCGTCAACTTATTCTTTTCTCTGCGCATAAGTTGACAAATTTGAAGGGGGGTTGACTTAAGAAAACGAATTTAAAAATCCCTTTTCTGAGATAAAACCGCAGGTTCCTGAGGAACATCCGCGAGGCACTCCTAACTTCGAGATGCATTCCAAAACATATAGCGCACGCACACTTCAAATCAACCCCAAAAGGATAAAACCTGAGCGCCTCCCTCGCTAATATACGTATCCCTTAAGTGGACATGCCGTCAAATTTGAGGGCCAAGAGGTCCTAGGCAGGTCCTAGGGCCCTACGGTAGGGCGTATGATCCTACTGGTCACTTGAGGGATATGTCGTTTCTCACCCGGGGCAAAAACGAACTTCCGGAGTGCCGGAAACCCGAAACCCGAAACCCGAAACCCGAAACCCGAAACCCGAAACCCGAACCCGCAGGTTCCAGAGGAACATCCGCGAGGCGGGCTTCGCGTGCTTCGCACGCATCACCAGAGGCACTCCCCCAAACCCTAATCCCTCATCCGTAAACCCCAAACCCTCAACCATAAATCCTAAACCCCAAAAACCAAAAAACCAAAAACTAAAAACTAAAAACCAAAACCAAAAACCAAAAACCAAAAACTAAAAACCAAAAACTAAAAACACGAAACTCTGAACCCGACACTCTAACCCTACACCCGAAACTCTAAACCCTAAATTCCCAACCTTAAACTCTAAACCCTTAGGTTATTTATGCCCTAAATGTAGAGAACGGCCCCAATGCCGCCCTGAATCTGAGATGACTTGTAGTGACGAAGGTAGGAGGTGGAGTTAGAATCCATCCGGAAAATGCTCGAATGAGCAGCCGACACGGGGTACAGTAATGGCACAACGCGTAGAGCGATGGTGGTAATTGTTGGCCGCTTTTCGGTTTGCCGGTTTGCCGGTTTTACAAGTCCCATCAGGGTTTTAAAGCCGATTTCATTTGAACCAAAAGTAACTAAAACCCTTTCAAAACGCACCGTTTCGAGGAATCTGGTTTCAATGAAATCGGCTTTAAAACCCTGACGGGACTTGTAAAACCGGCAAACCGGCAATCCGGCAACCCGAAAAGCGGCCAACAATTACCACCATCGCTCTAGCATGTGCGACACTGACGCTGACTATTTGGCAATAAATTATCAATCTCTATGTACCGCACCCAGACACGAACAGGTCTACGTCCTTTTAAATTCGGGATGCGTCCTTTCAAACTCGAAGGGTCTTTTTCGACAATTTCGCGAAATTGATCTGAAGGGCCACGTGTTTTCACATCAAGATGCGAAAACACGAGGCCCTTGAGATGACCAAATATGGTCTTCGTGAAAACGTAGACCTTTTCACATGCTCGCAGGGGACGATGCGGCAGCGTGCGGGCAGCTCGCTTCTCAGTCGCATCATCGTACCCCTGTACCGGAATAGCTCTATGTGTGATGTTCTGGGCGTTGAGTAATTTCGTTCTGGGCGTTGAGTGTTCTGGCAGGGGACGATGATGCGGCATCATTGCAAACCCTAAAACGCAAACCCTAAACCCCAAACCCTAAACCCTAAACCCTAAACCCGATGATGCGGCGGCGTGCGGGAACCCTCAACCCTCAACACTGAACCCTGCACCCTAAGCCCTAAGCCCTAAGCCCTAAACCCTAAACCCTAAACCCTAAACCCGAAAGCCTTAACCCTGAGCAGGGGACGATGATGCGGCGTCGTGCGGGCAGCTCGCCACCAAGGGTTTAGGGTGCAGGGTGCAGGGTGCAAGGTTCAGTGCGCAAGGCCGTCAGGGCCTGAGTGCTTTGCTGAGAGAGAGAGAGTGTGTGTGTGTGTGATGGAGAGCGCGTTTGAGAGAGTGTGTGTGAGGGAGAGAGGGAGAGAGGGGAGGGGGGA